CACCTACTGGCTACCTCCAGCATGTGCCCCAGCAGGGGATTAAGCCCACAACATGGACACGTGCCTTGACCAGAAATTGACCCCACGACCTTTCGGTGACAGGACGATGCTCCAAACGACTGAACCACACCAGCGAGGGCTCTGATACATTTTTAGGTGTAAAAGGATTGTGTAAATTCCAAATACATTGCCTAGTCACTGAAATGTTTTCTTTGTCCTTCCCTATCATATATCTTACCACCCCCATCCCAAGAAATGCTTTTAATGCCAGGTACGCCATATGTACTTATTTACTTAGAATGAGAGATTTGTTATAATGGATACAAGATACAAAGGATTTAATACATAAATCTGCTATAAGTCCGACTTTCTACAGCCATTTTAAGATTTCTTTTAAATAACTCTTTCTCTTGTTAAGAATATTTACAACCTCTTTCAGGCAGAAAAGCATTCCTATTTTTTCCAGAAACCATATCCTGAAACCTTAAATTTTTTTTAAAGCTATTCTTTTTGGTGTACGTGTATTATCTATTTCTCTTTTTCTTACACTCTTTCTTACTTCCCGTATTTCTTCCTTCCCCCACTCTTACTTTGTACATTTAGATTTTTTTCTTTAAATCTTCCTTCTATAATAAAGAACTGGAATACATTTTATTGAACTCATTGATATGTTTATTCAAGAGTTTTGTATTTCTTATACTTTTTCATTAAATTTATTGGGGTGGCATGGGTTAATAAGATTATATAGGTTTTAAGTGTATATTTCTATGATACATGACCTGCCTACTGCATTCTATGCCCACCAGCCAAAGTTAAATCATCGTCCATCACTGTGTATTTGCCCCTCTTCACCCTTTACTGCACCCTCCTTCCCCTGGTAACCACCACACTGTCGTGTCTGTGAATTTCAGTTTTATATCCCACGTAGGAGTGAAATCATATGGTTCTTAGCTTTTTCTGGCTGACTTATTTCACTTAGTAAAATATTCTCAACTATATTTTTTATTCATAATTTTTAAAGTGAATAAACAGAACAATTGGCATATTTTTTCCAAAATATAATAGGTTCTAAATTTTTTAAAAGGTAATTGGAGTTCTTACCTTTGACCTTATCATGAACTGTTTCCTGGAATGTTTTTAAATGTATACATAAATATTTTTAAAGATATAGGATTAGAAAGAAATCCATTTATAATGAAACTTAATTATTGGAAGTAAGTGAATGAACACTCCAGTTAAGAACCTCATTACAAAAACCTTCGAAAAACAAAAGTGGACATATTACTGAGTAAGTAATGCTTTAATATCACAGATTGCTGTGCGCAGTAACCCTACAAGGTAAACACTGCTGTCACATGCTATACACCTAAAAGGCTTAAAGGAGCTCAGAAAGGTACACCAGTTACTGAGCTACCAAGTGGCAGAGCTGAGTACTGAACCTTTCTCCAAGGTCCAGGTTTCTAACCACTTAACCCTTCTCATTGCCGCTGGCACTATTCATACATTCAGGACTTTTCTTATCTTTAGAGGGGAAGGGAAGGAGAGAGGGAGAGAAATATCAATGTATGGTTGCCTTTCGTGCGTCCCCTGCCGGGAACTGGCCTGCAACCCAGGCATGTGCCCTGACTGGGAATCGAACCACAATACCTTGGTTCACAGGCCCACACTCAATCCACTGAGCTACACCAGCCAGGACTAAATTCAGGACTTTTCTTAACTCATTCCTAGCCACCAAAATGGTTTCTCTAACTCCGAATCTTTTCCTATACATTTCAACTTCATTGACACTCCCCTGGCCACATGACTGAGTCTAGCTTCTTGAATCAGGAATTCCAGACCCTCAGCAAGCCAATTATGTCTTAACAAAAGAACCACAGAAAACATAAGACCAGCCAGTCTTCTCCCACCACCATCCCTCATTAATGTCATCAGTTCTGGCTGGAATGCCTTTTGCTGTCTACTATCACCACCAACTCAAGCTCCACTCATCTTTTCAGGCATAGCTCAATAAATACGATCTCAGGAAAGCCTTCCAGCTCCAGCTGGAAGTGATCTTTCCTTCCTCTGCATTGGTATCACTTTATAATTACAGTGAGACATTTATTAAACATCTTCATGAAATATAATTATGTGCCACAGAATTTTTTTTCAATCCCTCAAATATGTCATGCTCACCTTGTCTCAAACCTAAGCTAGATTCACTGCCCGGAACATTCTTCTCACTTTCTTCCCTTGTCTAACTTCTACTTTTCTTTCAAGCCTCAACTCACAGGAAACTCCCCCTAGAAAGCCTTCCTTCACTGCCCGCAACCCTACCCTGGACCAGTATCCACAGTGGATACCAACTCATCACAGCCCTGAGGCTGCTAGTTGGTTTTTTACTGTCTCTCTCCCCACCAGGCCCAAAATCTTACCAGAGACTCCATTTATTTTATCCGTAGTTGTATTTCAACAGCTAGCATAGTACCTGCCTTGTAGTTGGAACGTTTTTAAATACATTTACAATTAAATTTCCTTATTATCCTGTCTGATTAATCCAGAGATAAATTTCAAAGAAGAGGACTTTGCAATTAGTACTAAGTAAATAATTGTTGGGTGAAATGATTCTTGTGGGAAATGGCTTAGATTAATTATCTCACATCCTCAAACAATATGGATTAAACTAACAGTATAAACATGAACTCTTGATAATGTCTTTTATAGAGAAAACAAGATAAACATTTCAAATCATTTAAATATACAAGTTAAAACAACTGAATCAAACCTAGAAGCCCTGATTGAATTACTGCAAATCATTGTAATTCATTACCGTCACCTGCAGCTACCTGCATTCCTCGATTATTATCCATCTTGTGCTATAAAGCACTGCACTCCAAATTATCTAGGCTCTTGATCATCTGCGACTATTCTCAGGACTCTTTCAATGCACCAACTGCTGTTCATAAGCAAACCCCTGTTGCCAATTCACAGCCTTCAGTCTCCCACCATCCAGCTTTTGCCTTCATTCGACAATCTATAGAATTGCTTATCTCACCTAGAAGGTATTAAACTAAATGAAATGAGTCAGTTGGAGAAAGACAAATACCATACGATTTCACTTACACGTGGGATCTAAAGTACAACACAAACAAGCAAAACAGAAACAGACTCATAGATACAGATCACGGACTGGCAGCTGCCAGATGGAAGGGGGTTGGGGACTGTGTGAAAAGGATGAAGGGATTGAGAAGTTACAAAATAGGCGTGGGGATATAAAGTACAGCAGAGGAAATGTGGTCAATAATACTGTAATAACTATGCATGGTGTCAGGTAGGTACTGGATATATAACCAGGCAATTCACAGAATATATATGGCCCTAACAAATACATGACATACTTTATTTTACTGATTAAAGAATTGAACATTAGAATAATATTATGATATTCTTATCTATCTGTTTTGTATAGATGAAAAAAGAAAAAAAAGAGCTCTCACCTCCAGGGTTGATAAGAGCACACCTTGCTGTATGAATATTAAATAAAATACATAGCTTTTCTGGAGAACAATCTGGTGAGACAAGTAAAATATAAGTAATATGCATCTATTTTGACCCAGATATTCTATGTACAGAGTGCAGCAAAAGTAGGTTTACAATGGTTTGCAGGGAAAATAATAAAATCATTAACAAATAACAGTGTAAGAATTAACTGTTTTGCATACTCACAATTACAAACCTACTTTTGTACCATCCTGTATATTACCCTAAGGAAAAAAAAAGGAGCTGTATGTAAAAGATGTATGTATACATCCCATGTGTATATGTATGTACAGTTACATGGCAGAATTATAGTAGTTTAAAAAATCAGAAAAAGCTACAAATCTACTGATAAGAGAGATACATTAAATGCAGTCAACTCGGATACTATATAGCAGTTAAAAGAGACATGGTAGAATTTTATGTGCTAACATGTAAATAATACATTATTATAAGAGACAAAAACACACTACAGAATAACATAAATATACATTTCATATTAGAATCAACCCAGTGACATTATTACATGAATACTACTGAATCTACTGTAATATTTTTATATTATTTACAAATGTGTCAAGATTGCAGTTGAGAATCCATGTTTACATGATCCTATCAGGCTCCTCCAGCTTTAAAATTCTTTAATTCTAAGAACTTAATACAGCATAGATTTTGGAAACTGTTATTACAAGGCCCCAATGGGTCTCCTCTATATCTTTGAATGCACTTCATCGAAATGCAGTATGAAAATGCTACAAAGCATCTAAAATTTTAAAGCTACTTTGCAAAATTTGGGTAGTCCTTTATTATCAATGACAATCCATGGTGAATATGTTCATTTTATAGAAATCACAAATTATAACCATCTCTTACCTCAATAATAATGTAAGAACCATTATAGCTTGAAAAAAACTAAGATAACAGAACCCTTTGAACCTTCAAAGAGTTAAATGACTGTAAGATTTGCTTCTATGGTACTATTAACCTAAAAATGCTGACTGTCAACCAAATCTCCTTAGAGGGCCACTGGAGACCAGAGTGGGGCCTCTTCCCATCGGGCGGGACTGACACTTGTAGTCAGAACACCTGGGGATGAAAACCATTCGTTGGGCTCCAGAATCCCAAGCAAATCAGATAAGCTACCTGAGCCTCAACTGCCTCATTTGTAAAATGGAGACTAGTATAATAAAACCATTATGTATGTAACACATAAAAGGTGCCTATTACTGTGCCTACACAAAACAGCTTCTCAAATACTTGTCTAATAGAAACATCTGCATCGTTGTTGCTTTTGTTGAAGTATCTAGTCCCTTCCCCTGAATTTTTATACCACTCCATGCACAAGCATTCTACTTAATTTTTATACTACCCTGTGAGAAAGGGGTTTCTTGCCCCCTTAAAAGCCTATCTGTTGACATATTCTTTTCCAATATAAATATGTAAAACTCTGTTATCTCAGAAATGCAGGGAGAAAGCATACTTACGAAGCACACCCCCAAATCTCCGTGTTGCTCTCCACTGAGCTCAGTGCTCTTCTCAGGCACATATGTCTGCCTCCTATCATCTCTTCATGAGGTTCAGGGCAAAAGGCCTAGTCAAGTAGATGATCTTTGATTGCCCTCACACTTTCCCCAAACCACCTACAAATAAATAAAACAAGGGTTAAAACACACCCACAACCTTAAATTTTTTAAAATAATAGAACATGAAAATAAGCTCACCCTCACTATGTGCAGTTTATGGCATATCAGAGAACAAAGGAAAGGCTCCTTGGGTCACGCAAAAACCTCACTGAACTCATATTCTTCACCTCCGAGTGCCCAGTCAGCCTACTCCTCACTGGTCCCTTCTGCCCACACCTGGTCTCCCCTTGGGCTGGCTAGATCACGCAGTGTGAATTGTAGCCCAAGTCTAGCTAAAAGTACTTTCTCTCTCCCTGCATGTCTATCAGCAAGTAACTAAGTCAAGTAATGCATTTCACATGTCTCTTCTGAACATAAGACCCAATGAATTTCTAAGCCAGTTAACACACTATATGCTTATTCCCCTTAAAGGAAATATTTTATAAGCTGCCCAGTTCTTCCCATATCTAGTATCACAATTAGGTAAGTAAAACCCCCTTGGTCGTAAGAGCGAGCTGTGGACAGAAATATTTTCAATTTTTTGTGACAGGTTTTAAAGCAGTGTGTAAGAATACACAGAAAGTTATCCAGAGAACTGGTAGTTGTCCACATGAAAAGTAGACCTGGAACTACATCTATAAGCCACTTCAAGAAAAAAGTATTCTGGAAAAGTTAATCAAAATAAACTGTGGAGAGTTCAAGTGACACAAGTCTTGAAACGGCAGAGAGGACATGCTGAGAGCAGAAGTTTTACGCATACTTGGCTCTTCGAGCAAAGCCGCACCCTCACCCCAAAAGTCGAGTCACAAACCCCAATTTCTCTTTGCCAATATGAAGTTGCCAAAGTTTTAATCTTAAACCTCTACTGCACAATAGTATGTGGCTACAGAGCTCTTGAAATCTGGCCAGTTTGAGTTCGCATGTGCTGTAAGTGTAAAATACAAGATTTTGAAGACTTAGAACAACTTTTTAAAAATCCTTACGGTTTTAAAATATCTCAGTAAGTTACATATTGACTACATGTTGAAATTAACACATTTTGGATACATTGTGCTAAATAAATTACTGAAATTAATTTCACCTGTTTCTTTTTTACTGGCATAATGTGGATACTAGAAAATTTAAACTTGTGTGTGGCTCACAAATATTTCTCTTTGACAGCACTGTTCTGTGTAATTAATAAAAGTAAATAAAAAACACTGAGCACTTGCAACGTGCCAGGCCCTGTGCTAGATACTTCACATAATATCTGAAACAACGTTACAAAGCGGCTCTACAAGAAGTCTACGGAAGTGACTGAGCCCCATCAAAACGTGTCGGGTGTTCCCACGAAATAACTCAAATCAGGGACTATTAACATTATGGCAACTCCCGTGTTGGCATAGGAAGGACTGATACAGCGTTCCCGGAGTAGCACACTTTTGTGACTATAGAACAGGTACAAAACGGCAAGTTATATCGTGGTCCAGGCAAATAATCTCCAAAATGAGGCTTATCTCCTTGACAGCTTAGACTTCGTAGCTGCTAACGGCAGGACGAGCCACTCGCAAGAGGACAACGAAGTTCAAAATCCCTGGATAACTTGGCAAAGACCTGACTGCCGACACCCCTGTTGAGGGAGGGGGCGTCTGGATGCCGGGCACCCCGCCTCTCCCAACCTCGGCACACACTCTACCCAGCCACAGCCCCACTCCAGATCTCCGCGCGGTCACCGTCCCCACCCATGGGACAAGGAGAAGTGGGACTTAAAACATCTACAAGACAGGGAAGTGATAAAGAAAAGGCCAGGGGCACGTTGGGGGAAGGTACCTGAGATAGAGAAGAGTCCCAGATCTTTAATGCCGGATCATCGCCGAGGCCTGCCCGGCTCCCACGGCCACCTGTGACCAACAAGGTGCTGCAGACCCGACGCTGCGGCGCAACCGACAGTGCTCTGCCCTGACTCGCAGCTATGGCAACTTAAACTAGCCGCCCAGCCACAGCGAGCGAACTGGGCCCCACTGGTGGCGCTCGGCCCTCTGGGAGTTGTAGTCCGTATCATCCGCAAAACAAATAATTACTAAGGGACGTTTGCCCTAAAATAAACTTCAAGTCCCAAGATGCCACACGACTGTCTTCTGGTGATTCTCCCGGAAAAAGCCGGATTACTTGCCACTTGAGGCCACTGGACTCGCCCTCTTGCCCTCTTCTTCTTCTTTTTTTTTTTTCGCCCCAAGGAATTAGAGAGCTGCCTTGGCCCAGAGTATAATTTAATCAGAAGAGTCTAAAATATTTATTTTACTATTTTAAAAAGAAAAAAATCAAAATAGTTATGATGCTAACATAGACAGCTCTCTGTTACTCCTTGGGGAACAGGCAGGTGTAATTTCTCGCAGTCATATGTAAAAATCCCCTTACTGCCAGAGCCCCACGTCTTCTGGCTCACAAATTCTCAGAACTGTAAGGGAACAGAGGAGATTATCTAGGCAAACATTTTACGCCTGGATAAAGTAAATGACTCTCGTAAGATCTCATAGCTCACTAATGACAAATCAAAAACTGAATATAGGGATGTCGCTTCATGGCTGCTGCTAGGGTGTCACCTCCCATTTCTGAAACGGGAGAGAGACAAATTCCCCTCAGAGAAGTTGGTTTCAATCAGGAAAGGTCACCGTAAAAAACCTGAACAAAAAGAACTGTGCTTTGGAAAGGCTAAGAAGTGAAAGTCCAAATTAGTTGCGAAGATGGTTCTTTCCCTTCAGCTCTGCCAAAAAAGCCATTGATGTTTTCCTCGTGGAGGCTAAAAGCAAATTTTATGTTATCTGTAAGCTTCTTTCCTGGCTTCCTGATCAAGAACAGCTAGATCACACTAAATGACACAGGTCCCCTCTTCTCATAAATGTGTACTGTAATGATCCATTCCCCAGTTGGTCCCTCACATGAAACTCAACGCTTTTCAAACTCAGGGACCTAACCTTTTAAAATTCCCCTCCTCCCTTCATATCTCTCTCTCTCTCTCTCTCTCTCTCTCTCACACACACACGCACGCACACGCACGCACACACACAAAAACAAGACACATAAATGTCATAATTTAATATATTAGAACCATCCAAATGTTTTTTCTGGTCATCCAACACTGCCAGGTAGATGTTACAACCAGATGAACATGAAATAATTATTTTAAGGACCTACCTATGTATTTGCATCTATCTTCTAGCCACTTGGTCACAGCTGTGTTCAAGAATACACACTATCTGCCACAAATGTGAACAAAACTAAGAACACCCATTAAATTGTCCCATATGCATGCAGAAGCATAACAGTAACTTCATTTATTTATTAACATGTTAACAAAGTATACAATTATACTCATTTCAAAACAATTATACTCGTTCATTTAGTTCAGCAAATGAATGCTGAATTTTTCTAGGATCCAGACATTATATTAGACACTAGAAATGCAGTGAAAATGAGGAGATGACATAGTTTCTGCTCTCATGTTGCTCAGAGACAAGAAACTATGAAAAGGAGCAGTCCCCCAAAATAAAAGAGATTCCTGGCTGGGAATGTGATAAGAAACAGAGAAGGGGGCCCCAGAGAGGGGAGATGGAGAGTTTGCGGGGAGGTGGGTGCAGACCTGAAGGTGCTGGAGGAAAGCCCATGTCCATAGACTGCTCGGCCACTATTCAAACAAGTACTATTCATAGCCTGAACCTGACCATCCTCCTATTGGCGTGAAAGGGGTACAGCTCATATTTTGCCCAGTGATTGCCCAGCACAAGTAATGCCATCTCTACCATTTGACATAGCTTGGTTCCATCTAGCTACCACAGATAGTCAAGCCTCCTTATAATATCACCAGACAGTTAGTTGTAAGTGACAAGAAGGAAGACAGAGCATCAAAGAGGGATGCAATGTGTAAAGTTAAAGAGATATCTACAAGCCCTGGCTGGTGTAGCTCAGTGGATTGAGCGCGGGCCTGCGAACCACATGATCGCGGTTCGATTCCCAGTCAGGGCACATGCCTGGGTTGCAGGCCGGTTCCCTGCAGGCCAGTTCCCAGCAGGGGATGCACAAAAGGCAACCCTACATTGATGTTTCTCTCCCTCTCTCCTTCCCCTCCTTCCCCTCTAAAGATAAATAAATAATAAAATAAAATTAAAAAAAAGAGATATCTACAATATCCTAATTGGAACGACTCAAAATTCTCTCTGAACCTAGAGAGTCCTGAAAGCCACTCTGTTTACACCAGCACAAAGCCATCATACATGGTTTTGATTCCTGTTGCATCATCTTTCCAGGCTAACTGCAAATCTAGAATCGCCAAAATAAGAAGCAAAATGTTGTGAGGATGGTATTGTCTGCTGCTCAAAGAATCATCTTCAGCCGCTCATTGCGTACCATTGATCCCATAATATTCTTTTCAGCCACACACTTACTAATTATAGTATTTGTCACTGTCAGGAGCATTACAAATATATGACACAGCGATTTGTTTGCATTTTGGTCAAAATGAACAACTATTAATGTACAGATTTAAAACTATAAAACATTTTGTGTAGCTAAGTCATATAGCCTAAGGTCCACTTTAATAGGTGCCTTTAGGGAGGGGTGGAAACGGAAGAATTTATTGCTAAATGTCACTTTCTGATATCTGGCCCATGCTAATGATTCTCTTATGAGGAGGAAAAAGTAATGTTCTTAGCCATTCTCATTTATCTCTTATCTTTTTTTTTCCTTTTTTTTCACATTATCTCTTATCTTTAAAAGCATTTTTTGTGTGTTTAATGGATCTGAGGGCAAACACTTTTCTCTTTACTTCAATGGATTCATCTTCTCATATGTTTATTTGCCCCAGTTTAAAAGTTATGCTAAAGAAAGAAAATTGTCTTATTAATTGTCATAGCAATTTGTTGAGCAGGTTATTAGAACATAGTTATCCTGAAGGCTAGATGCACTTTCCTGAATCACAGCTGGTACACATAGGAGACTTTACCTGTATTATGATCACCAGTGAGCCAATCTCATGATTGAAATGTTACGGATTTGGGCATGCCATTTATGGTCCCAGCAAAAACACACTAGCATAGAAGCAGAGAGCAGATTTTCCCTCCATGCTTTTAAGGACAAGAGATATCAGATAAAGTGGCCCCTCAGAGACAGGAAACAAATAAGGTAAGGCTCTTGACCCCCATGACTTCCTGCCTTGAGAGAATTTCGGGGCCAAGGCTCAAGGAGAAAGAACCCAGGCAGAGCCCAGCTTCGAACTGAGAAGACAGAGATGAGAGTTTGGGAAGACCAATGTGGCTGGACAAACTAATAGAGAGAAAAGAGTTACATAAAAAGAAAACTCCAAAGAACGGTGAAGGCTCTCCTTGGAGTATTCAGCAGAGTATGGGAAGAAACTGAGTCTGGAGGAAAAAACATCTAACAAGATTGGAGGAAAAGCGCCTGTCACTCACACAGGACCAGAGACAGTGAGTATTCCCACCAGCCAAATGGAAACACTTCTTAACTCATAGAGTATTATGTAGAGTGCTCAGAAGAGCCCTGCCTCTGGAGTGGGGAATAATTAGTGCAAAATCAAATGCTACGCTAGTCCCACTCAGGAGCCTTGAAAGCAAGATCCAAAAATATCAAACTGTTTCCAAGTTAAATTACTGTTTCCTCACCACATCTGATAACAAATCTCAAGAATATTTCTATGAAAACAAACAATCCAGTACCAAAAGAGGTAAAACTTACAATATCTGCAATCCAAATAAAGATTATCAGGCATGAAAGAAAAAGAAAAATGCAATTCACTTGAAGGAGAAAAATCAACCAACCCAAATTTACCTAGAACTGATAAATATGTTAGAATTATAAAATGAGGACATTGTGAGGGTTTGAATTGTGTTCCCCCAAAAGATATCTTCAAGTTCTAACATCTAGTGCTTGTGAAAATGTCCTTATTTGGAAACAGGTCTTTGCAGATATTCAAGCTAAATTGGGGTCATACTGAACTAAGAAGGGCCCTAATCCGGTGACTCGCATTTTTGTAGGAAGCAGGAATTTAAGACAGAGACGTGCAGAGAGAATATCTCGTGGTGACAGAGGAGGGACTAGGGTGATACAAGCCCAGGGACACCAAGAACTGCTGGCGACCATCAGAAGCTAGGAAGAGGCAAGGAAGGAATCTTCCCTAGAGCCTCCAAGGCTGCTTTAAGCCATCAAGTACGTGGTACATTGCTACAGCAGCCCTAAGAAACTAATAGAGACATCGAAAGTGTGTTGGGTGTCAAAAGTTACACAGAGAGACAGGGCAAGCCTAAAAAAGGCCCAAACTGAACTGAACTGCTAGATATGAACATTTCACCTGACATAAAAAATATACTGATGGAATTGCTGGCAGATTAACTATTTCAGAAAAAAGTGAATCCTGAGTTTGAAAACATAGCAAAAAAAAATATCCAAAATGAAAAACAGAAAGAATTTTTAATTAAAAAAAGCATCAATGAGTTTTTTGTAAGATAATTTTTAATCAGCCTAATATAAATGGAACAATCAGAACACCCAAAAAGAGGAGAGAGAGACTTAAGGAGCATAAAAATATATGAGGAAATAATGGCTGAAACATTTCCAATATTGATGAAAACCATAAATGCAAAAATTCAAGAACCTTGAAATACTGCATAAGAAATGTGAAGAAAAGTAAATCAAGGCACATTACTTTCAACCAGGGATAACTAAAGCCATAAAGGCCTCCTCAGGGAGGAAAAAAGCATGTTACAATAGAAAAAAGAAAATTATGATAGAACATTTGTCCTTGGAAATAAGTAACAAGACAGTGGAGCACTATTTTTAAAGTACTGAAAGGTGAAAATACTTTCAATCTATAATTCTGTACATAGCAGTGATATCCTTTTAAAATGAAGGCAAAATTGGTACTTGTTCAGACACAAAAAGGATGGAATAACACATAACTAGCAGATCCATAATACAAGAAATGTTCGTGAAAGTCTTTCAAGCAGGACTTCCGCCAAGATGGAGGCGTAGGTGGAAGCACTGCACCTTCTCCCACAACTAAGTTTAAAAACAACAAAGTTTTAGCAACAAACATGCAGCCAAACCACAGAAAATTGAACTACACAGAAGTCTGACAACAACGAACCCTTCAGCCAAACTGGTGAGAGGGGCAGAACCAGGGGCAGAGCCAGCAGCAGAGCAGGGTCAGGCAGGAAATATCCACTGGACTGACCCGGGCGCACAACCCAGGTGTGCCAGCAGCCGTGGGTGGATCCCAGGTGTGGAGAAGCGGGCGGACCCACTAAGGGCTGATCACGGTCACACATTCACACGCAGATAAACCGGTGAAGGACCTAGCAGTGAGATGGACCGCACAGGCCCCATAGGCAGGAAGTGGCAGAGGGAACTGCCATTGTCCCTCTCTGACCCCCGCCCCCGCATACAGCATCACAAACTAGCGACCTGGGTGGCCCCACCCTGCTAAACAACTAAGGCTTCACTCCTCATATGCAACAGGCACAAACAGATCAAAACATGGCTCAAGAACAACTTAGAGCCTCAGAGCCGATAAATCTAAGCGATGAAGAAATAGCTAAACTTTCAGATGCACAGTTCAAAACACTGGTGATCAGGATGCTCATAGAACTGCTTGATTTTAGTCACAAATTAGAGGAACATATGAAAGCTAAACTAATTGAAATGAATGGAAATACACAGGAAACCAATAGTAATGGAAAGGAAACTGGGACTCAAATCAAAGGAGTGGACCAGAAGGAGGAAAAAATGACCAAACAGAAAAAAATGTAGAAACAAGAATTTTAAAAAATGAGGAGAGGCTAAGGAACCTCCAGGACATCTTTAAACGTTCCAACATCCAAATTATAGGGGTACCAGAAGGGGAAGAGGAACACCCATGAGTGGAAAACTTATTTGAACAAATACTAAAGGAGAACTTCCCCAAGCTGGCAAAGGAAATAGACTTCCAGGAAATCCAGGAAGCTCGGAGAGTCCCAAAGAAGTTGGACTCAAGAAGGAACACACCAAGGCACGTCATCATTATATTAACCAAGATTAAAATGAAGGAGAGAATCCTAGAAGCAGCAAGACCTAAGGGGACAGTCACCTACAAAGGAGTTCCCATCAGACTGTCAGCGGATTTCTCAAAACAGACCTTACAGGCAAGAAGGGGCTGGAAAAAAATATTCCAAGTCATGAAATCCAAAGACCTACATCCAAGATTGATCTATCCAGCAAAGCTTTCATTTAGAATGGAAGAGCAGATAAAGTGCTTCTCAGATAAGATCAAATTCAAGAAGTTCATCATCATCAAGCCCTTATTATATGAAATGTTAAAGAGACTTACCTAAAAAAAGAAGATAAAAAAGATGAACAGTGAAAGGACAGCAAGTCCTAAAGGAGAACATAGCCAGGAAAATCTCAGATATTCCATGCAGCAATATTTTCACTGATATGTCCCCTAGAGCAAGATATATAAGGGAAAGAATAAACAAATGGGATCTCATCAAAATAAAAAGCTTCTTCACGGTTAAAGAAAACAGAATTAAAATGAAAAAAGAACCAACCGTATGGGAAAACATATTTGCCAATGATACCTCAGACAAGGGTTTGATCACCAAAATATATAAAGAACTCACAGGACTCTAAGAAGACAAGCAACCCAAATTTTTAAAAAATGGACAAAGGACTTGAACAGACACTTCTCCAAGGAGGACATACAGAGGGCCCAGAGACATGAAAAGATGCTCAGCATCACTAGCCATCAGAGAGCTGCAAATTAAAACCACAATGAGATACCACCTACCACTGTTGAGAATGGCCATCGTAAAACAACAAGCGTTGGAGAGGTTGTAGAGAAAAGGGGACCCTACTGCACTGTTGGTAGGATTGCAGACTGGTTCAGCCACAGTGGAAAACTATGAAATTTCCTCAGAAAACTAAAAATGGAACTGCCTTTTGACCCAGCAATTCCACTGCTAGGATTATATCCTATGAACCCTGAAACACCAATCCAAAAGAACCTATGCACCCCAATGTTCATAGCAGCACAATTTATAATAGGCAAGTTCCAGGCAACCTAAGTGCCCATCAGTAAATGAATGGATCAAAACACTATAGTACATTTACACAATGGAATTCTATGCAGCAGAAAGAAGGAGCTTTTACCCTTTGTGACAGCATGGATGGAACTGGAAAGCATTATTCTAAGTGAAATAATCCAGGCAGTGAAAGACAAATACCACACGATCTCACCTTTAACAGGAACCTCATCAACAAAGCAAACAAGCAACCAAAATATAACTAAAGACACTGAAATTGAGAACAGGTTGACAGTGACCAGAGGGAATAGGGGAGGACATTATAGGGGAAAAGGGTGAAGGGTTCACAGGAACAATTAATTATAAAGGACACATGGACAATAATGTAGGTGGGGTGAAAACAGGGAGGGAGGTGGGAAGGGCTGGAGTGGAGGGGAGGGGGGAGAAAGGCAGAAAACTGTACTTGAACAGTAATAAAAAATGTCTAAAATATTTTTAGAATTTACATGTAATTTTATTTTTCTTTTTTTTTATTTTATTTAGTTATTTTTCAAGTACAGTTTTTTGTCTATTTTTCCCATCCCAGCCTCCCCTGCCCCTTGCTCCCCACCTCCCTCCCATTTCCTCCCCCCCCTTAGTTCTCGTCCCTGTGTCCTTCCTATTTGTTCCTCCAAATCCCTCCCCCTTTTTCCCCTTAGCTTCCCTTCCTTCTCCCCTCTGGTCACTATCCCCTTGTTCTCTATTTCAGTGTCTTTGTTTTTTGGGGTTTTTTTTCTGCTTACTTGTTTGTTTTGTTGTTTAGCTTCCTGTTAAAGGTGAGATCATATGGTATTTGTCTTTCAGCACCTGGCCTATTTCACTCAGCATAATGCTTTCCAGTTCCATCCATGTTGTTGCAAAGGGTAGTAGCTCCTTCTTTCTCTCTGCAGCATAGAATTCCATTGTGTATATGTACCACAATTTTTGGATCCATTCATTTACTGATGGGCACCTAGGTTGCTTCCAACTCTTGGCTATTGTAAATTGTGCTGCTATGAACATTGTGGTGCATAGGTTCTTTGATATTGATGTTTTAGGATTCTTAGGATATAATCCTAGCAGTGGAATTGCTGGGTCAAAAGGCAGGTCGATTTTTATTTTTCTGAGAAAAATCCATACTGTTTTCCATAATGGTTGTACCAGTCTGCACTCCCACCAACAGTGAACTAAGGACCCCGTTTCCCCACAACCCCTCCAACATTTGTTGTTTGTTGCTTTGTTTATGATAGCCATCCTGACTGGTGTAAAGTGGTATCTCATTGTGGTTTTAATTTGCATCTCTCTGATAGCTAATGATATTGAGCATCTCTTCATGTGTCTCTGAATGTTCTGTATGTCCTCCTTGGAGAAGTGTTTGTTCAAGTCCTTTTCCCATTTTCTAATTGGGTTGGGTGTCTTCTTAGAGTGGAGTCGTGTAAGTTCTTTGTATATTTTAGAGATTAAACCTTTGTCTGAGGTATCATTGGCAAATATGTTTTCCCATACAGTTGGTTTTTCTTAATTGTATTTCTTTTTTACTGAAGAATAGTATTCTACTATATGGAAGTACCACTATTTATCCCTTGCCTGATGGAGGAACACTTGAATTGTTTCCAGTTTGGGGCAATTATGAATAAAGCCACTAAAAACATGCAATTCAATGAATTTTGACAGAGTATATATTTACTTATCTCTAATGTAATTAATATATAGAACATTTCCATAGCCCTGGTGAGTTCTCTCCTGTCTTTTTCTAATTATTCTCCCCTAAATGTTATTCTGAGTTTCATCACCACAGTTCTCCTTTCCTGTCCCAGAAACTCATACAAATGGAATCATACAGTATGTGAAAAACTGATGTTCTTTTTACCCCAAGATGAATTAGAAAGCAATTGAAGACTTCTAAGAAGGAAATTGGCATAACCTGATTTATATTTTAAATTATTATCTTTTAACTACTGTGTAAAGAATGATGAGTAGGTGATAGCGCCCCCCTTAACTGTTCTTCTTCTTTCCACCTTTTTTGGGTGGATAGGAAATATGTGGCTCAGTAAAATTCCTGGGCGGACCAGGCTGCAAATCTACACCGCAAAGACGCACTCAGAGTTCCCCCAAGGCGCCGCAACTGTTCCTGCCATTCTCGGTTCTCCCCAGCAGAGGGCTCCCGAGCCTCGTTCCCGAGCCACCTCCCGGAGCCCGCCTGCCCGAGGCACCGGGAGCCGGGCTCCGCCAGTTGACTCCTCGCTGCCATCTCTGCGCTCAAAGCGGTCCGGGTTTGCGCTGAACTTGGGGAACAGTGAGAATCCGATAGGAGTGTTGCGCCCCGGCTTCAGCTGCACCTCGGCCTGGCCTCAGCAGAGGTGCTTTAGGACAGAAGCAGACTGACCCTTGTCTGTCTCTGACGGTCCATTCCGCAGGGACTTTCTCCAGTTAGAGAACGCGTGTGGGAAGGAAGAGGGGATGATCCTGGCTGGCAGTGCTTCTAGGGGTCTACCCACAGGGAAAGGTGGCCCATTGGATGTAGACGCAAGGAAAGGAGGGGCCTTTTGAACTAGGCTTCGGAAAGAACTAATGGGAGGAACATTAGGGGCTGGTTGGTAAGCAGGGTGGGGACAGCCAGGACTGGTGTTAAATGTCAGGGAACAGACGGAGTGGGCTGCGTGGCTTAGGGCTGGGAAAATAAAGCCAACAGGCTTGTTTGCTCGGAGAGTTGCCTAGGGAAACAGAACACTTGAGAGCCTCTTCTGTCCCCTCTCCAGCCTCCTCCTTGGTGCTGAAGTCACAACCCCAAGGAGTCTTCTTCCACCCGTGTCTTTCTCCTGCGGCCCGGGGAACCCGAAACGCAGAGGGCTGAGAATGAGACGATAGTGAAGGATGAAGAAATAGCTTTGGACCCGTGGAACATGAGGCCGATGCCCCTTTTGCAGCTAACGCTGCTTGTAGCCATGCCTAGGGGCTTGGGGGGGAAAGAGTGTCTTTCTCTGCCCTGCGAGTGCCACCAGGAGGACGACTTCAGAGTCACCTGCAAGGATATGGACCACATCCCCAGCCTACCGCCCAGTACGCAGACTCTGTAAGTACTTGGGAGAGGAGAGGGTAGGTCCCGGAGGCCAAGGGCAACTGGAAAAGTGGACCGAAGTACACAAAAAGAACTTGAGAATAGGCCAGAGGGGTCTGTGTGTGTGTGTGCGCGCATGCAATGCATAGAAACTCAATCTCAGAAACTTGGGATTGCTGACACCATGTTACTAACAACACAGAAAAAGGTAACAGAACTTTGGTACAAGATGAAAGTAAGAATTGTTCCTTTTAAAGAGCTATTCTGCATCTTCCCTACTCCTCACCCAGGCTGAATCTTAGTTTTACCTCAGATATGAATAAGATTAATAGCAATTCAAGAGCTGATTTTTTAAATCTTATACTGGGAGATAAACATTGCAAAACCTGTATTTCTCCTCTTAGTCTTTGTAGTGGGAAATCATCTTAGCTGGTCTGCTATTCATCCAATCACTGACAAAATTTAATCAAGGGGTCTTTTTAAAATATACCTTTTGTGCTTTCTATGAAGGTAACTTTGTGTGAGCTGAGTTACTTTCTCAAATGTGACCCATCCACTGACATGGCAGATCCAGAAATTTCCTTTGAGATAGGCCTGGTAGGGGGATAAAGAGATGACATTTTATACGCTGTATTTTTACTGCATATTAAATGCCACCAGAAATTGTCAGGTGATTACTAGCCTTATTGGGGGTGATCACTTCATAAGTTGTATAAATGTCTAATCACTATGTTGTACACTTGGAACTAACATAATATTGTATGTCAACTATAATTTTTAAAAATTATTTTAAAAAGCTACCAAATTAGAAACCATGTTAAATCAGTGTTATATATGTCTGTTCCTTAACAGCCATTTAAATCAATGACCACTGAAAGGATAATTGCAGACAAAACGGGGGGGGGGGCTTTCTTAAGTGATTAAACATAGAAGAGAAACAAAAAATAATTTGTTAGTGGTTGATGTATCTGTGCGGGTATGTATATTTCTATGCTCTGAATTACCTCAGTTTGTCGTCTCTTCTGGATTAATTAGTGCCTTATCTTCCAAATACGGCTTTATTCTCCATGCTCCAAACACAGAATAAAATGTGTTCTTTACTCTTGATTAACCCCCTGCAGCGACTCTTCACAGCCTCGAGGATGAAACTTTTGTACAACTTCCAAGATCCTTCAAGAATTCAGTCTTTCTCTCAACCTCGCGGTTCCTAATCTCTTTGACTTCCCTCTCCCACTTAGCAGCACTTCTGGCACTTTCCTGGAAGTTCTTTGCTCTCACAACTGTGTTTGCCTTTCCTCCCACTTTCCATTGCCCTGTCTTCACCTGCCTAATGCCTACTTCAAGGTGCAGATTAGAGGTCATTGCCTTCAGGAACCGCTCCTGATTTATGCCCCTAGGCTGAATGAGCTCCCCCCAGCCAGCGTTCTGTGCAGGAACCCTACCCTAGTCTTTTCACATGCATAGTGTAGTTTCCTGTAACGTATTCCTTTGCACGCCTGCCCAAGCAGGAGGCGAGCTCTGCTAACACAGAAACGCTGTCATTCAACCCTGGAACTATTGTGACATTAAAAAAAAAAAAAAAAAAAAGCTTAAGTGAACGAATGAACAAACAAGTAAGCTAGTCTCATTATTCACTGTGGAAATAAAGAAGACCAGAGATATCACTTCTTCAGAGACTTCTCCAAAGGTGACATAATTTCACATCACTGAAGAGAAATGAGGCCCTGACAGTGGAAGGGAACTTGGAGGCATCTGGTTAATTCCACTAAATGAGGAGGAGGAAGGGTTACCTGAGAGTAAGAGCAACAGAGTAGGAGTCGGAGTAGGAGTCGGCACACCTGCATGCTCTTCATCCCCCTTCCCTAACTGTGGAATTAGGTCAAGGTCATTTATTTAGGCGAACCCAAGTTTCCCTCTGAGTAAAACAGAGGCATTAGCTAGGTGCTTTCTGATGTTTACAATGCTGCAGAGGGAACCCACTGAGTCACAAAAGCTGGATAAAGACAGTAGCAAGGACAATCTGACCTTGAAAACAGTTGAGGGGGCAATTTTAAAAATGAAGTTATTCTGAGATAAGGAAAATAAAATTCTACAAAAGCATGGGTAAAAATGGTTGCTCATTTAAACAGTGACCACAACCATCTACAACAGTAGCAAAGTGATTTTCAAAACTCTGGGAGGCTGGGGGAGCAAGACTCTCGTTACAGGAAACTGTATGAGATAAGTCCTGCATGTAAAGCTATGTTTTATACTGCACTTCCTACTATTCTCAGCCCTTTACATAAACTCAACCCATCGAGTCCTCCCACAACATAATTGAGTAAATGATTTTGTTTTTCTCATTTTATAAATGAAAAAAACTGAGGAATAACAAAAATGATTCAAATTGCTCAGTGTCTCACAATTTGTAAGTGGTGAGGTCAGGTTTGAAACACCACAGTGCTGCACCCATAAGACACTGCTCTCAGACGACAGTGGGTCTCACCCTGTGGGCTTCTCCCAGTATTGTCAACAGGCTTTGGAGTAAGAAGACTGAAAGGTAAATGATGTCCAACAATTCACAAATAATTTCGGCAGGCTGTTGGCTTAAGAAATATGCAAGAACTCAGGAAACAGGAGGTTAGGAGAAAAGGAAAGGAGGAAAGAAGAAAGAAGAGTAGGAGGGGAGGAGGAAAATACAGACTGTATCTGTGTTATAGGAGTCACTTCCTGCTGCAACAAATCAGATGTTTGTCATTAAAAACTTTTTCAGAGTGGTAACTGCTTTTCTGAATCTACATGCTGCGTTACTGCCTAGCTGATCAATCACCAAATTATTTTGGTGCTGAGATCAATTTGTCCTAAGCCTTGTCTTCTATCCATATATTATGGTCCTGAAAGGTGAGCAGATCATCTCTTTCTGCATCCCCCAGACACCTGCCACATGGTCTGGGGGATGGGTGGGAGGAGCTATCTTCTTTGTGGCTCTCATTGAAACAATGGTTCTGAGTCTTTCTCCCCACCTCCCCCTTTCAGAGGGGCATGATGCCCTCTCATTACAATAGTGGTTCTAACTAGGTTGTAGGTGAGGGGGGAGCTGCTATCTGTACCCCCGCCTGCCTTGCCTCATGGAATATTCTATAATCTTTGATATATAGGCAGTTTGAAAAAATTTACTCCTCTCAGTTGAGACTTACTGATCTAAGGGAACATATTCTATGAAGCAAGAGAATAAAATTTAAATCTGGGTGTATAATTATAGATCATATTATGCCAAAACCAAGGATAGCAAGATTGGCCCATCACTCTTATTCAGAGTGTTGCCATTTTGCTACCTGGGTGCATGATTGGACTGTCCCTTCTCTAAAGGGGAAGGTCAATAGTGTTTGACAGACGTTCTGGATTTGTGTGGATTCTTCCTCAAAGAGCTGCTTTATCACGCCTGTCCTTTCAACCTACCTGCTTTTGGTTTCATGATGGCGACAATCTGTAATCACCACCCCATTCTTTCCACTACCCCAACCCCCGACCCCTGCTGTCTGGGGTCTAGCGCTTCAGTGGAGCAATGGTTTGTTCATCACACACTTGTGTGCCTCAGAAATGTTTCTTAAGGTGTTGTGGCTGTTGTATTTGGGTCCTGGTCTTTACTTTAGCTTTTAGTCATTTGCATGCTACATCTGCGGCTCTAATGGATGGGCTGTCCCAGTGTTTTCTGAGATGAAAACAATCACTTGGTGTCTTCAGGATTTTTGCCATGTCCCACCCATGCAGTTTATCAAAGAGATACCAGTCCAACACGGTGTCCTTGGTGGTATCACAAGGACTAAAAGACAATGGAAAAAAGAATCGCCTTCTCACTGTAGGTAGGATTCAGTGTTACTTAATGCCACGTGGGCATTCCACCTAAAATAATGTCATGTATTTCCAAGTCACACCTGTTCCACATTTCACAATTGTTTTAGTCATAACCTGAGTGATACTTGGTTTTCAACCTCAAGGGAAGCTGTCTGCTTCAGCACCTGCATGCTGCCCAAACACTTTGTGTCTTATAAAGGTGCCTTCCCTTCATGCTTCCAGACTCTCTGTGATTTCTTTTTTAGTGTGTGTGTGTGTGTGTGTCAAGGTTTTTGATGATAACAGAAAACCCAGTCTGTCTATCTTAAGGAGGAAAGAAATGTCTTGAAAGAATAACATGTAACTTACACAGCCATTGTAGAACCAGGCTTTGACAATACTCCAGGGCCCAGGGCAGACGGGAAGCTGGAGCCACAGCCAATGATCTGGTTGAAATAACTGCATAGACAAGACCTCAGCCACAGCCACCAGACATCTATGGTGCTGGGCTCCCAGGTCCACAGCTACCTGAGGATCTGTGCGCTGCCATCAATAATTGCTCAACTCTCCCTGCCTCTTTGAATTGCTAGCTAGAGAGTAATATCCTTTGAGAGCATCTGATTGTCTGGCATGTGTTACCTGCTGTGTCCTAGCTGCTGGGGGTAGAAAGAGGGAGGAGGTCCCCACTCCCACTTTGGGCATCTGTAGTGGCAGATGAAGAACTGGGTCTCTCCAATATTACACACAATGGGGGGAACTGTGCTGAAGAGGGGTTATGTACCCTCAACATTGCTTATCACTTCCTTCGTTCTGCAAATGGTAATTAATCACTGGCTATATGCTAGATTCTGTGCTACACTCTGGATTTGGTGAACGACAACATGTCCCTGTCCTCGGGGATCTTACAGTCTAGCATGGAGGCTGAATATTAATCAAATAATCACATAACATGATTATAATTGTGTGCATATGCTGAGAGTTTACTTGGTGGTAATGGGGTGGGGCACTGACTTAAACTGCTGTTCAGGGAAGGCTTGGGCTACATCATGAAGTGGTAGGAGTTGGGTTTAAGGAGTTTCATGGGGTGGGAGATGGGGGTTGGAGAAGGGTGTGGGGAAGTGATGTTCAGGACACAGAACTGCTCATGTGACGAGCTCTGAAGAATTCCAAACTGAACAGTGAAGGAGTTTGACATATTCACC